AATACATTTGAAACGTTTTTTTCACTAAATCCTTATAGTTTATATGTTATTTTCTCTACCCTATCACAAAATGGGATCAGTCAATTTGACCGACCTCATAACCACCACCAAAAACAAATGAAGAATGTGCAGCTCATGTTACGCTATCGAATTACATTACCCACAAGCTGCTCGCACGAGTGCCTCGTTAAATATTTTAATTATATTATTATTATTATTTTACTTAATCTAGTCTTAAATAACTTAAAAAAAGATCTCTATTTTTAATTTTAATTACTTTTAGAATAATAAATAAAGAATAAATATGAAAAACAAGAAACAGAGTACTTGTCCAATCTTCTTTTTTTTTGCCTTCGATTGTCAAAGAGAGTTAAACCTGATTTTTCATAGTAATTATAGTAAAGCACTTAATTTTTATTTCATTAAATAATGCACCAATGAATATAGAACAATAACATTCAAAAAGTAAACAAATTCATTTACCTCTCAACATTTTACTGGCTTTCTAACTATGCGACAATAGCCATTACAAATTCATCCAAGCTAGTCGTTAACTTTCCCACGTTAACAACAGTACTTTTATGAAATTCTCTTCTAGTTACTGAGATAGTATTTGTGCTCTAACATGTATATTTGAAAGCAGCATGAATTATTTTGTGGAAAACCAAAACAGTGCAAAAAAAAAAGCAGTCTCATTGAAGAATGTACTTGTGTACAGACATGCCTATTTGCTTTGATGAGTCATAAATTTGTTTTTAGGTATTATCATTATATATTTTTAACAAAACTAGGGAAAAGAAATATCAATTTTTACTGGTAAAAAACAACTTATACTTATATAGAAGGTCTTAGAGATTGTGTAAATAAGAAAACATTAAAGACAAAAAGAATTTTCATTGGTATGAAAACCTTTTACTCGCAATGACTGTAAAGATTTAAAAAATTCACAGGCAAATTTTTAGCAAAACACTATCTTCAAATTATTTGTGTATAAAAGACGTTTAATGTTTACTTAAAGCTTTACAATGTTAGTGGTGATACACCTAGTAAAACTGCAGTTATATATATAGACTTTTATGGTTACATGGTTATTACAAAGTCAGTTAAAATTACCAAGTCCATATATATATATATATATATATACACATACAATTAACACAGAGCAATAGTCATATTTTCTTGAATATCTCAAAATTTACTTGATAACTGATAGCAATCAGAAAATAAATAGTACTATTTTTCACTTCAAATGCTACTGAACAATGATTAGTTAAACAATTGAATTCTTTGCTTTTATTATCTACAGCATAATACTAAAAAAAAAACAGATGTTAAGACTAGTTTCATTTTCAAGGTACCGAAATATAATTTTCAACGTGAACAACATGTTGAGCGTATGACAAGGTCAGAGAATCTTAGGGTTCAATTACAGCAGTTCCATAACATAGAATTACTTGCCAGAGGGAAGGCAGCCAGTCAACAGCATATGCTACCACAAGGGCTTTGTTTTGCTCTTATGAACCAAACAGAAATGACCATCACTTTTGTAAAACACCCACAAATGAAAGCACGGAGCATGTTTAGCTTGAACCCTAAATCGTTAAACGGCCTGACACGCTATCCAATAGGCCAGATCAGCTCAGCCCTTTGTTTATAAAATCTAATGTATCACTATTATTATGTTCTGGACACACTCACATAATTTTACCTTATGCATCCAGGCAGAATTAATTTTACTGAGCTTGCAACCACACATGGATGTACTAGTGTGTCTTCACAAAATATGGCAAGTTTTTAGTAAACATTACAAGTATACTTGTAATACTTTAGAATCTATAATTAAGCTGCAATCAGATTACAAGTTATCTTTTATTAGCAATTAGTATCATCCTACACACTTGTATCTTTAAACTCTATCCAGTCCAATCCTATGTCACATGTTTAAAAAAGAAATCTGTCTGATCTTTCACCTTAAATCATTTACAAAATAAAACTTTTGACAGAATTTTTCTGAATTAAAATGCTGTTTTCCAGTATCATTAAATTATGAGGTTACAAGACTCACAGCATGTTACATCACTGCCTGGCTACATGCTACATACCATCCCCATTGAAACACTTGAGATGAAACTACAAAATCTATTATTGTTTCCTTTTCGGTTCTTGTTTGACTTTACTAACAAAAAGATATCACGACAGGTGGTCGGAAATGCAGTAACATTAATTTTCACAGATTTCCCACAAAAAGTGAACAGTTGCTTAAAACACGGTTTTATAGATGAAATAGATCATACAAAGTTAATCCATTTCATAAAAACAGTCATATGTGTTTGGACCACTTTGGTAGTGATGATTTTAACAGACTTAAAAGCTTAACTATTTTGCTGCAAAAGCAAACTGAGATTAAAGCCAAGTACCATTCATTCTCTCCGATTACTCCTATATCAAGTACAAGGAATGCAACTAATAATGAAGCACTGCTGAGTGATGTGTAGCTGGAGTGAAAATACAACCTAAGAAAAAGAAGACTTCCTAGTGCGTGCAACTTGCCTGGATTTTCTGATCAGCATAATTATTGACAAAATTGATATTATAATGTGTGCAGGATACTTTTGTAGTATGAAATTAATTTAATCATAATACAGTATTTTACCATTGACATATATACAGAGTTGCCACTATGAGCACCACACGTCTGTCCAAGGTTACACTACACTCATGTAAAGATGCCAGGCAGTCATGTCATTTCTATCAGCTAATATGGTTTGAACTAGCCTTGCAATATATTAGTCTTAAGCATCATTATGATATTTTCAGAGGAGAAGAGGATAATTTCTAAAAATCAATAACACATTTAAGCCTAAGTAAGCTGCGAGTCAGTAGTAGGTCCATAGAAAGGTTCATGTCCGAATGTAGAAACAAATTAGCAAATTAAAGATGCTACAAGTATATTTAGCAGCTTATGAAGTTCTCGATTTAATGTTCATGACCATCAAAATGCAAGAGGCTGGAAATGTAGGTCATTCACACCTAACAAGCACACAAAACCAATATTATTCTATACAGCTAAAATAGTTAAAAGAAATGAATCTAGGACTAATAGGCCTATATTAACATGGTATGAAAAAACTTCTATGTAATCTCAAAATTGTCAAATCATTGAGTAACATGAAGCATCAGTCTACAGTAATTTAAACATCACAAATAAGAAAATTCTAGTTGTTTTAAAACAAGTTAAGTAATTAACCTATTGGCTGCTACGTTACCCTGATGTAAGATAAGTTTAACAAGCAAATACATTTTTCAACATATCTTCTAATCCGATAAAAAAATACAAAAATGTTGCAATTACCCACGAACTCTACGAAAAACGAGGTCATTTCTTTCTTCAGGGGTGATTGCATCTCGTTTAATGCTGCTTGGAGGTACCCATCGGCGAATGGCACAGGCGCCTACGCTTGTGGTTGATGGACGGGGGGGTTCGTCCCTGTAAATGACAAGACTTTTCTTATAAATTTCAAGTAAGCCAAAAAAGGCATATTGAATGTCTTTACATTTTATTGGCCAATGGCCTCAACCTGTTTTAAAAACTAGGCAGTGGGTTATCTAAATACCATCACTGTGGAACAAAGGACTAAAAGTTTGTATTAATAGTACAACTGATTCACCATTGCAAGTTGTTGATGATCTCTGAACAAGTTACAAATACACATAAACACACACCTATCTTGAAGTTCAACTTGTTGAGTGGAACCAAATGTACATCTTTTAATGTTTTGACAGTTTAGATGCAATTAACCAAATAAAATTAAGTTGAACATCTACATCTACTTAAACAAGTGTGATAGCAGTAGCAGAAAAACAAACCAAAACTTCAATTAACAAAAAGTGTCAAATTTAAAACACAAAACATTTTGAAAGCCCAAGGTTTATCTTTAGATTTATAAACCAGTCTTAAGTCCTGACTGAGGCAATATAACATATTTCACAGTTCAAAAACCTTACTATGGCTCTGTGACTTTAGCAAGCCTTTCCCAACTGCCAACATATGACAATTTGGTGTGTGGTCAGATTATTAAAATCACCCAATATTTTTTTAGATTAATATGTTAAAATGAAAGACAAAAATTGATTCTTGTTCTAACAGATGAATAATTTTCATGTTAATATCAAAAAATTAAGACATTATGCCATTAACCCAACCTATTAAATATACATAATAATATATAAACATCTATATATATAAAATAAGCAATGCCACTTGCTGAATTTCATTTCTGCCATAAATTCTGGCCTAAATTACAGGCCCTGAAATGACTTTTTTATATTTATGCTACACAATCCACATCCCAAACTCTAAATACAACATACCATCAAATTTCTCTAAATGTTGAGAAATGTGATATCACTCAGGTACAGAACAAGTACATATCACTATATCTAACAGTGCTAGAAGAGGTTTTTAGGGGAATATCAAAAAGAAAATGTTTCATTAATTATGACTAAACTATATCAATAGGTTCATAATTGTAAAATTGAGTAAGATAACAGAGAAGATGTGTTTCTGCTGTTAACCCTATCACACTTACAAACTAACTTACTTGCATGATATTCATAAAACGTGGTGATATACAAAAAAAATCTAAATCTGAAACCTCATAATTCCTGAATGGTGTCCTTAGTTGTTTACCTGTGATTTCAAGTGATTCAAGTCCCAATGCCAAATGAACAGCTTCCTTTGAATACATACACCTACTTTGTTTTAGCCTAATTAACACACTCATCATCTGCTATGACATGTTCATCTCATTCTTCCTCCTCACACTGCTCCTTAATTTTGATTTATAAACTTCTTTTTCACATGACACCCTCAACCCTTTTTTTACAAAGGTACTCATGGTAACTGTTATGGTATTCTATAGGAAGGTTTCTTAATATTAGTCGAGCTGGGCCTTAAATGTACAGCAAGATGAATAGCTGTTTTTTCCCTACTCTACTCATTCACTTTGGGAACTATTTCAGTGTACTGATATACCTACCATGGTACACCTTAATTAGATGATGTTGAACTGGCCTACTATATTCTGTATCTTGATGAAGTGGTGCAGCTGGATTAGTTGAAGAAAGGCTTGTAATAGTAAGTAGTAATAGATATATGTATGGGTTCTTCTATCCCATACTGCATAATTAATGGCTTGTGAGAGTGGAATTCTTGAGAGATGTTGGTTTGACCCTTGCATTTGTCAACTTATTTTCTAAATATCTTATCTAAATATGTCTTGAACATTTCATGTAGTTTCTTCAATAATGGTGTTATAATTCTTCTATACTTCCCTTTTTCATGTTCTTTTGTACTTTGATTTTGTTGCTGTAACATTTTCTCTATATTTTTTACGGCTTTTTCCTTCTTGTTTTCAATCAAATTGATATTTATTCCCAATTATTGTCTAAATCCCATATTTCATTCTTGCAATTTCTCTCTATTTCCTGTCTCTTCTTGATATTCTTTCAACTCTTTTTTTCATGCTTGATCTAATTTTAATTTTCTGCCTCACTTTTTTTTAGTCTCTTTTAGTCTCAATTTTCTTTTTCTTTCTTCTTGATCATCATTCCACAGCTTCGTCATTTACAGTTCTTCAAACACATCTTGAAGTTTAATGTTATGAATGGATGGGTTCTTTTGGATTATTTGGTAATAAAATAATGCACGGTCTAAAAAAGTATTCTATTTCTTCTATTACACCTTTAATTAAAGTTTACTGATAGACCCAAGTTCTAGTAAACATTAAAACAAGAAATTTCACTTACTTGCTCATTCTCTCTCGAATCTCTTATTACTATGTTGCAAACATAAACTCAGTACTTAGAAAACTAACAAAACACAATCAAATATTAACTTCAGACTCAGTGTAACTTACTAACAGACACTAAAGTCAATCTACTCAAGCACTTTCTATATGGCTCAAACTGTTTCTTGAACTTTCATATAGGTCTCGTCATTATGTCACGGCCATCATGTGACATCAAAGCTTCATCTGGTCAAAAAAAGGAAAAACTAACAGCCTATAACACTACACTGAACAATGTAGTGGGGTTTTATTTATCAGTTTATGTAATTGCTTCCGCAAGCAAAGACATGTACTAAAATAAAATCTTAAACAAACAAATGAACATAAAACAAATACAAAGTTTTTGTGTATTTAAAACATAACTTTTAGATAAATAATAACAATAATAAAAAAAGTTTTGCATATTTTATTTACATTTACAGGTAACAATACAATTTATTCAACTGATGCAAATTCTGCACTGAAATCAGTCTAAATATAGCTTCATAAGGTATCTGTTGACTTCAGTGGGACAACAAAGCAAAATTATGAAAAGGTCGAGTACATTCTGAACTTTACTTGTCCCACAGGATAAGAAGATTCATAAATATTTTTTGCAGTCTGTAAAACCATGAATTATTTTCACTATGTAAAAATTATATATATTATAGGCATCAACAAAGCCTTCATCATTACTGGTGACAATCTGATTTTCCACTAAGTTTTAAGACGTATTATTACCTAGATAATGATATCTAAAGAGCAAATATATGACTTCAATTATGTCTGTACAAAAATGGCAGACATAACCGGTATACTTTTATGTCATTTTGCCAGACCCATCATATATCCCTGATTGAAATCCTCCAATGCTAGCCACAATATCACAAAAATGTTTAGTAGCATACTGAACTTTTCCTTCTAGTGAACATGAATTATGACTTATATTAGTGGTTTCCCAATGTTTTTCACTAACGACACCCTAATCAAACTTACTCTGATTTGCTCAACACCCCTGCCACCACATACAGTATATTTTTTTATGTTTTCTATTATTATTCATTTAATGAAACTCTTGCAACACCCTAGTGACTTGCCATGACACACAGTTTGGAAACCACCGACTTACACAATATTATTACCCTTACCAAAAAACACTGTCATTCTAATTTGTAGGGTTTATAATAATTAATACAGATGATCTTGTTGTAGTATTTTAGCTTTAGGACGTACATGAACCTATTACAAGAAAAGAGAGTAATTTCGAATCCCTAATCATGTAGTAAACAAAATCATACTGCAATATTCTACTCTAAATAATACACTAAAGATTAAAATGAGTCAGTCAGTCTAATAACTAATTATCTTCATAAGATAGCACTAGCACAATACATTTAGAGTAACATTCAACACCCTAAAGTGGTAATTTATGATAAACTGTAATGAAGAATGCCAAGTTCAATACAAAGCAGCATTAGAAACAATGTGTAGCAAAACATAATATGAAACCTAGAACATGGTGGATATTGAAATATTCTTCATAAGTACTCTGGAACCAAATTCAATGCAGGCTTCAACCGAAACAATTAGTGCATTTACCAAAAGGTTAATTTTTGATACTTATTTGTGGACAAGTCTATAATCATTAATCATGGTATAAAGATTAATGTTCCACAGTCAACATTATACATAATATTTATGGTATGAAGACAGTCACATCCGTTTTCACTTACATAAGGATGTCCACAACCATTTTTTAAATAAGCACTTTTACCAAAAAGCATAATTTTGTCAAAGTTGAACTATCTTACCTTCCTCCCGAGCACTGAGATGCACCCCCTGGCCCTCTAT